GCTCTGCATGCTGCTCCTTTTAAAAAGTAGTCGTGCTGTTTTTATGAATGTGTTCTCAGCTTTCCCAAATGTGTTAAATGAAGTGGCTTAATTGATTTAAGTTTTGTAATACTTGCATTTTGCTTTATCTGAGTTACCCTATCCAGCCATAGCTCTATTTAGTTGAAAATTACTTCTGAGTTCTGCAGTACAAAGCAGTGACAACAACAGAAACCCATTTGGAAATCGTTGTTGCAGACCCCGTTTCTCCGAGACATTAAATGGAGTGACTGATACTTTTCTCACAGACCTCTCTCCTCACAGCTACCTCAGGGTACTTCCCCCTGCCCAACCCTACGACATTTGCTGCTCATCTTCTGGAATCTGGTTCTTGTTTCTAAGACTGAGAAGAGCATCCAAAAGTAATGTGATATTTAGGAGTCCTCCTATGATTTCTCTATTCCTTTGTTACATGCCCGTGTCTGATACTGTTCTTACCAGCAGTTTGAGCTATCTTGCCAAGTGACCAAGACACCATAGGTTCCAATCAGAATCAAACTCCTCTTGAAGTGCACACTTGGATGAAGCTCTTACTTGGCTCTTTGACAGCATGGTAAAGCGTGCCACATCTTTGAAGTCATCTTGTGTTCTGTCTCCGATATCCTTGTCTTGCTGGAAGTCCCTTCAGTACGTCTGTGATATCCCTTCTCCGGCTCTTTGGCAGAGGACTTTGCCGTTGTTGCCTCTCTTTTCCCCTTTGACAGCTTGTATCTGTCTAGTTTCATCCTCAAATATAGTTTCAACTCTTCAGCGCTGACAAGTCATTGTCTGGCACTTGAGCTCTAGGCTAAATTAAAGATTTTCCTTCTTTCAGTGGCATGTGGGTACGTAGCCCTCAGCTTTAGGGCTCAGCCAGACGTGAGGAGATGAGCACGGCTCTCACGTTCTGTATTTGGACCAACTACAGTGAGCGTGCTCAGCTGGATTTTATCTGTGTAGGTTGTAGCTCAGAAATGCTGTGGAGTTGTCCTTAGCAATGAAAAACAAGTGACACTTCAGTTCTTTGCAGGTCTGTATCACAGGCACAAATGTTATCAGAAATGTCACAAGACTTATGGACAAACTGGTTTGTACTAAAACCCCACAATTTTTGTCCCAAATGAAAGCCAATTCACGCTCTGGATGGGGAATGTAGGCATTCTTGCAGTCGTAATCACGGTTGCTTGGGAAGTAGAATTCGTGGTGCTGGTGCCCATTTTCAGTCTTTTATTCCTTGTAAAAGGAAGCGATTCTGAAGGTGGTGGAAGGTTGGGCAGTCTCACCCCCACACACACACACTTCCTTTAGGGAAATGTCAAGTTCGTTGGCATTCGTCGGCATTTTGCCAAGCAGGGTTTAACACAATGTTGTCTTCTGTTTGTGGTACAGATACTAAGACAATAAGATGATACAGAAAAGAAACCTGTGAATGCCATTCATACTAGTGTGAGCAGCATGCTGCTCTGCTGCTGTTTTTTCAGGAAGAACAATTGGGATATTTGAGTATGATGACAGCTGTGCCAAAATCAATAATCAGCATGGCAGATTTCTTTGAAGATGTAGAAGTGTGTCAGGCATTACTTTAAAGATTTTTTTTTTTCTAAAAAGGACATATGCATTTTTAGCAAATGTAGTTTGCCCAGTTATGTCTAATAAATTGGTCTCTAGTATATTTTAGATGACTATGCAATTAGTTTATATACCCCAAAACTTTTGTCTCAGATCACTCATGAGTTTCATTTTCAGTTTCACCTGGGAGTTAAAATGAAACTTATTCAATACTTTGATTGGTAAGTGATAATTTTTCTTTTCTCATACAGGATTTTAACTTAAATGGGTCAATATATTGGTGTATCAATTGTATAAGGCAACACTTACCTCATCTTGAGTAGTTGAATCCCCCGTCTGAATTCATAGAGCGTTCTGATTGCAGCTGGATGCTGAGCTCTGCAAAACAATAGTTTAGTGGGAAACAGAACTCATCTGGCTATGTCCAACTCTGATGTTAGTCCATCCCATTTTCCTGAATTTCTCATTCAGAATTTTGCGGTCTTGTATCTCAAAACCAAGATGGTAGGTGGAGGCCCCATTGTCCTAGTGACTGAGAAGGCCCCTCACCGTTAACTGCAATTATTCCCAGCAAAGTTTTTTTTTGCTGCTCTGGGAAAAGCAGCGGTGATCTTGTCCTCCGACAGATTCGAATGTGTCTACTGTTGTGCAGTGAAGGTCTTTCAACCTTTAACTCTCTGATCCTGGGATTTATCAAACCCTCCTGTTTTTCTTTCCTAATCTGTTGCTTTTTGTCAACCTCAGGTACAGATTCTGTAAACAAAATCCATAATAATTTCTGTAGACTAGTTGCTTTCTGTACCCTCTATCTTGCCATATGCTTTGCGCCCTAAGAAGAGTATCTGTTTTTATTTAATGCAAATAAAACCTGGTTTTCTTACATAATTTTCTATAAGCTTCTTTGGTGATAAAAACACTCAAGTTCCAGCCAGTACTCTGCTGTGGCCAGAAAACAGAACAGCACTGCAAGCCAGGGGAAAAACTTGCGAGGACCTTCTGAAGAAGTGACTGCTGGAAAGAGAGAGCAGAGATGCATAGGGTAGGGAGCATGGGGTTGAAATGTGTTGGAAGGAAAGCAAAGTCCGACTTACATATTCAACAGCTGGTGGTATAGTGGAAACCGTTGATAAGTTGTGATATCTTTGCATTCGCCTGAGCTGGTGAAGAGAAAGAAGCTGGGTTGTGATTATGCGTTGAAAATAATCATGCAGATCACCCCCCTGCTCGCTGAAAGGATGGTATGCTGGTTTTTTTCCAGGTGAAAAAGATTTCAGACAACCAAATATGAAAGTGTCATGAATCTTAACTGCTTGTTTCAATCTCCTTTTATAGGCAGATGGACCTTGGGGGGAAAAAAAAAAAAAAAAAGCTGTAAGTTGGCAGCAGGAAGCTCGACTGTGTGAAGCAGAAAGCTTGACTGTGTGGGTTTTCTGAATATGCGTAATTCTGTCTCCAGGCTCAGGCAGGGAAGCTAGGGGACAGATGCCAGCAACATTTTATCCTAGAAAGGGAAAAAGAACCCAAAAAAGTGTGTGGGATGTTGTGGATTTTTTTTTTTTCCTGGAACTGGGTGATGTAGAAATGAGGACTGCAGAGCCCCGAAGGGCTCACCTTCAAACGGAACAGAGAAACGCAGCCAGGTATTTTGAAAGTATTTTGAAAATGACGGCTGCAGTCGCTGTCATGCTTTACAAATAACCAGGGGTCTGAAATGGCTGCATTGAAGTGGATTTTTTCCCAGCATGACAAACCCGAAGAGAGTGCAGAGGGGTGCTGTGAGAAAGCAGCGGGTGCTGGTGCACAAGAGCTGCTCGTGAGATAACTGTGGGCTAAAAAGGACAATTCTTTAATTAGAGAGGGAGAAATCTTCTGGGAAAGAAGAGTGGTAAAGGCTTGGGGGTGACGTGAAGAAAAGAAATGCAGCAGAAGTCAGTTGGCTGAGAGATAATTGACGACATGTATTTGTGATAAACAGTGTGTTCGGTTTGTGATTGAAAATTGAAATTTTCTGTAGTCAAGTAATTAAAGTGCGATGATGCAGACGCATAAGGGAACGAAACGTTTTCCATATCAAGTAGACTCTTATAGGTAGAAAGATGGGTTTAATTTTTAATACAGCTTAAACACTTGAAACACTTAAAAGCTTTGGAGGCCGTTTGCTTGAAAACTCTTCCAGAACACTTTGAAGCATATAGATGAGCAGGTGGAGGTCTTGCTCCCAAGGGTGGTAGAACTTGAGATAGCAGAGGGCAGCTGCAGAAAGGTAGGCAGAAAGTTGCTGGTTTCTTGTTGCAGAAGATTAGGATGGTTCTCTGAAAAGAATTAACGTACCCGCTGGGTATGTGTATGACCTTTTTGACAAGGAAATAAGCCAAGATGACCTCTTACGTACTTCTAGTGGTGGAAATTTTTTTTTTGCTCAGAATCCTTCTGTTAGTTCAAGAAATTATAGACTGTTATCCTTACTGCTATTTTAATTGAAAAATACATACTTGGATGGCTAAAAATACTGCTGCTTCAAAGAAGGGAGGAGATGCATCAGCTTCCAGGCTGTCTTCATTCAGACCTTTCCCGGTATTCCTAATTTACCCACAAAACTTGGTCTTCAGAGGGAGTTTGGGTTTAGTCAAGTGAGCAGCGTTATGGGACAGTCAGCCCTGGAGTGCTCCTCATGAACCTGCGTGTCCCAGAAGGCTGAGAAAACAGTGGGATTAGTGAATCGTGCTGGAGATGGGGATACAGGATGTAAATTCAAGCTTCAGGGTTACAGTACCAGCATAAATATAGCTCCCAGGCAGCATAACAGATTCCTTTCACACTGCCTGAAGTTCTGACAGGCGTAGAGTCCGTGTTTTTCTTCCTTCCCATTTATAGATCTTGGGATATTTTTAAGGGATGATGCTTCTGTGATTGATTTCATTTTCTTTGGAAATTCAGTTGCATCAACCCGAGGGCTGGGCAGGGCTTCGTGCAGATGTGTGGCTGACACTGGAACCACCAAATAATTGACTTTGAAGATCGAGGCCCCTGGAGTGAGGGGCAGAGACTTCAGTGAATGTAGGACATCGTGCTCACGCAAACAGCCGAGTCTGTGTGTTCTGAGCGCTGTGGGTATAAAAATAGTTGCCCAGGAAAAGTTATCCTTCTGAGGATCTCTGCTCTTATGAGGGTCTTTCAAAGGTGTCTCTGCTCTTGTACTAATGACAGGGAGAGGTCTCTGAAAACCAGAAGCTGCATGAATTACCCTGATGAGGACTGTGCTGCTGCCGTAGGAATCTAATGGTCACTGATCTATATTTGCAAAGAGAAAAAATCTTATTCTAAAGATGCAATAATAATTTAGCTTGTCCTGGTCATTTGCTCAAAAACATGACTTTTCTTAAAGTAAAGGTACTTAACTCGAGCAACTTCAGATATACACAGAATGGGATTTTACACATGTTGGACAGAAATAAGAGAATCAAGCCACGACCAGAAAGATTCCAGAACTGCAAAGATGTCTTTGATTTGATCCTAACGTGTGAAGAAAGAGTCTATGATCAAGTAGTAGAAGGTAAGGACCTTGAACTGATAAACCAAGTTAACTCTCAGTCCTTTTTTTCCCTCTCCCCTGAAGTCCTTCACAAATGTGGGAGTATCTCTGTCCCCTCTGACTGCTGCTGCTGGAACACTGGCAGGGACGAGGGCTCACAGTCCATTGACGTAGACTTTATGTACCAGAGAAGTGATGGCTGAATACTTCTTTCTAAAAGATGCCGGTGTTGGCAGCTACACAGAATGTGTATGTGTGGCAGTTTTAAGGGCTGACATAAGGAAATAGCAAGCATTTGGAGAAACTCAAATACATATTTGGTTTGAAAATGTTCATTGATCTAGACAGCTGACAAGTTGTATGCGATGGGCATTTTTTCACCCTGGATTGATGGAAAAACAAAGTCTGAGCTGTCTTCCCTTCTCTGCAGAAGATTTCCTGTGACCTACCAAGCAGTTTATCCACAATAAATACCTCCGCTACAGGTGGAGAAACTGTTCTTGAGTGTGATTAACACTCTGCAAACGTGCTACGGCTTTGCTCTTAAATGAGTCAAAGTGAGATATGCCAGGAGAGCCTCAGCTGGGGATGGGGTTCTGCAGGAACACAACGCAGCAGGCTTGATGCGAACGCACTGAGAGTCCTGGGGCTTCAGGAGGGACTCAGCTCCTGGGCTGAGAACCCTGCCACCCTTGGGAAATGCAGGATGAAGCGTTATGTGAGGTTTAAGGTGTTTCCTTTACATGGAAAGACCATCCAACTGAATTAGAACCATACACGTAATTTTGAAGGCTGCTGCCTTGCCTTTCAGTCCTTGGTGGTCATGTCACAGCAATACGGAGCATGGTACGTTTGGGCTTTGGCAAGCTGAGCGAGTAGGGTTCTGAGAGTGTTTGAAATGTGTTGGTAAGTTCTGAGAGCAGCTGCCCTGGTGCTGGGATGGATCTTCATCTCATGAAGAGTGACCAGGTGCTGATTTTCCAGTTGTGTATCTCTCTCAACTTCCTGGCAACGCCCTTCATAATTGACTGATGAAAGGAAGAAGGCTTGAGTGCCACCAAATTACTCCAGATGTGAAAGATGAAGTTTTAAAATGGAGGACTCAACAGATTTGCCAAAATGAAGCTGCAGAATAGGGTTAGGAGAGAAAACTTGTAGCTTAAAACTGTCTGTGTGATAGGAAGGTTATGTTAGAGAGGCGTAACAGTAACACGGGTGGGTTAGGAGGAAAAGGATGTTTTCTTTTTTCCCCCTTCACACCTTGTTAATAAGGGAACACATTAGAGCTGGAGTTTTCTAACGTGACTATCAGTGCTTCACTTGCAGTTTGATTTTCAGAGTGTTGGATGTACAGAGCATCTTTAAAAAACAGGCAGTTAAAGCTCTCCAGGTGAGGAAGCCCAAAATCATTCTTGACTTTTGAGAATCTTGATCTCTGTCTTTAAAGACTGTCAGAGTAAGGTGAGCAGTAACGTTTCTCAACCAGGGCAAATAAACTGCCAGGACCCTTCCACAAAACTGAATTCTTTTGTTTCCAAAACCCATCTCTCATTTTTGAAATAAGGGGGACTGTGGTTTAAGACAATATTAAATAAACAATTTTCTAAAAAAACTTTGGAGAAGGCAGAAGTGGACAATGTCTATGTATTTTTCAAAATCTTGTGTCTATTCTGTGTAAAATATGATACTGTTCCACCCCAAGTTTTGCTGTTTCGTGTGTTTTGTTTTCAAATAGATTTAAATTCCAGAGAGCAGGAGACGTGTCAGCCAGTACATGTGATCAATGTGGACATTCAGGATAACCACGAGGAGGCAACCCTGGGTGCTTTCCTTATCTGTGAGCTCTGCCAGTGTGTAAGTAGCGAAGGCTCAGCGCCTGCCTTGGACCCAGCTCACCGCACGAGGGTTGGGCTTTGCTTGGTGCTCCTCAGAGGGGCTGCAGATTGCCAAAGTAAAATCCCTAGTGAGAGACACAAGTTTGCAAATTCTTGTGGTTATTTTTGGAGCTGTTGTGCAAGCAGTTGAATTATAATTGAGTTCATGGTTTCCAAAGTGGGCTCTGTGTGTTTGAACCAAAGCATTGATATCTTACACAAAAAGCAGTATTGCAGAACACGCCACTGCACGCCGTGAGCCCATGCTCCAAACACTGTTCATGGCAAAAAACGTCCATTTCAGCGGCTGTTGTAATAGGTGGGGTTTAAACATCAGAGTTGCATTCTGAATCACGAGATCCTTGGAAAAACATCCGATGTCGGTGTGTTTCGTAGTACCACCCTGCTGTGTGTGATGTGGAAGAAAACACCGCTGCCTTCCGTAGGCAGGGGCTCTGCCCTTCCTTCAAAGTGAGACTGAAGTAAGCTGCACCCCAAACAGTCAGTATAGCAGAGAAAGGATCCGTGTCCTTTCACAGCGTGCAAGTTGACGGGTTCACCTATTCCAGTGTGGCAACAGGCTTCTTTTTTTTTTTTTTTTTTTACTCCAGCCTGTGTGATCTATTCTGGTCTTAAATCCTTTCCAGATTCATAAACCCTGAGAGGGTTCAAGGAGTTGCAATTTTACCCATCTGTTCAGTGTGCTTGCAGCTATTCTGAAGCCTCCGATCGTTATCTAGTGGGGATGGATGTTGCCAGCTCACCAAAGTACTAGTGAAGTGCCAGTTCAGTGGGTTGGAGAGGGAAGGATATGCAGATAAACACGATGCAGAGTATCTGTGAATATATTCTGTTTGGGAACGCTGGGGATGTCGATACAGCCCCCGGTGCCGCACTGTTGGGTACAGCTCCTGGTTTCGGTTGCACAGTAAGCCAAAAGCAGTGAATTATTGCAGTTTTTTCTAAACTACCTCATATCCTTGGAGTCCGGTTGCTTAGCATTTTTTCTCTTCTAGATACAGCACACAGAAGACATGGAAAATGAAATAGATGAGCTGTTACAGGAATTTGAAGAGAAAAGTGGAAGGACTTTTCTTCATACTGTCTGCTTTTATTAAAGCACATCTGTCTCCTTGGCCTTAACACAGATGAGGGAAGCATGTGTTTAAAGTTCTGATTATACTGTATTTTCCTGGAAAAATGAATATTGATTTTTTTTTTGTTGTTGTTGTTTAAAAACTCCTTTTCAGTGTCTTTTTTTTTGTTTGTTTCAGGTATTCTGTCACAGGTAGGCAGAGATACTGGTTGGGGTTGTACATATGAGATGATTAAAAGTATACACAAAGGCCACCTATTTAAAGATGAAAATCAAGATTTCCTTTAAATCCTACTTTAATTATTACAAGTAGGTTTTAATTATAAAGAGAATGTTTCTTGAATATAAGTTTATAATGTATTTTTTCCAGCTTACAAATTTATTTTATTTCAGTTGTGGTTTTTTTTTTTTATGTTAATGTGACAGAATGGCTGAACCTATGTGAGGATGTGAATGGAACAATGCAAAATGAGTATCTGTATATTATTAAAGTTGGAAGCATCCAATAAAAATGAAAAAACCTGTAAGTTTGTCTGTTTCAAAAGAGAAGCTGAGTAAGTGTGACTGTGCTCTGGGAGGTAAAACACAAAGGGTCTCAAGTAGCACCAGCATGCTCCTTCATCCCAAGTGTCTTGGAGAGGACAGTGGCAGCAAGAAGATCTTGAATTAGGGCACTACCCGGAAATCTTTTTTGGGGTCTGAATTGCTTTTGAATTATCGTGTGTGAGGTTAATGAGACTGTGAGGCTGTGGCTGTCGCAGTCAGGGACAATCGCATGGATGTCTTCTATAAGGAAGATGAGGAGAAATGGCAAACTCCCCTGTCAATAGAAATAGTTTAAAGCTTTTGTTTCAACTGAAATACCTTTTGAACAGAAGATTCTCCTCCCATACAGCAAGAATAAACATGAAAAAAAAAAAAATCCAGAAACTGAATCTTTGTATACAAAGAGAAGGTCAGAATTCTGTTTGTTCAAGCTGATAAAAGTGAAAACAAACCAAATTATTAGACATTCAAAATGTGAATGGCAAAGTGTTGCTGCTTATAGGCAAACGAAGATCTTAAAAGTGGTTTTGTTACAGGAACCTGGGAACGATTTGAAGCAGATACTTTAATGCTTGGCTGCATCATTTTAAAAGGGAAGTGGCCTGAAGTGGGGTTTGACGTCTGGGCTTGCCTCTGTCTCGTTCTGTCGCTGACCTTTGGCAGTGTTCATGAATTGGGTAATTTTCCTGAACTTTAATTGTTTTGCATGAGCAGGATGTTACCTATCTGGAAATCTCCCACCCCTCTCTGCTCCTGGGGGGTGGCTGGGGTTTCACCCGCCTTGTGGGGAAACCGAGACCTCTGCCAGGGCAGGCTGTGTCCTGGACAGGGTCCAAATGGGTCATTGAACCGTTCTCTGGGCCCAGGGATGTTTAATATCCCTGAATTACCTCTGTGGGCTTTTCTTGTCTGTTAAAAATACTTAAAGCAAAAATTCTACAGAGAATGAATGAATAGATGAGAGCAAGGAGGGGACGGGGAGCTCAAGCAGTGGTTGTGGTGAGGTTTGCAGGGTGTTTGTTTCCTGATGGGCTTGTCCTGTCCCATTCTGCTTCTGTTTGAAGGATTTCACTCGCCCGCCTCTGCTCCTGCTCATCTGCCTGCCTGATCCCATTGCTTGTTTCCATGGGGATTTTACAGCCAAAGGAAGAAGATGGTTCGGTAAGGACCCAGCTGCTTTAGCTGATCTCTTTCAGAAGGCATTGCAAGCAAGCGCAGTGCTGAGTATTTTGAGTTTTCCTTCCCTGTCGAATGTCACCACTGAAGTCTACTGTGGGGCGAGGAGAAACTTGGAGAGTGTCTGCAAATCGATTCTGCTTTCAACTTAATTCATCCTAAGCAGAGCTCTTTGTTGTTATTTTACAGAAAGGCAGTAAAAACCCAACCGGGATGTTTTCACCCGTGTTTTGTGTGTATGTGGAGATTTACAGAAGCGTCCTTTTTATTACATACAGGTTATACTGTTCATGTGCATAATTGGCAGCAAATTCGAGTTGCTGGAAGTGCCTAGGTATGGATTAATGAGTGGAACTTCGGCTCACTGCATCTCTCCAACTGAAACGAGAAGCCTTGGTCTAAACACATGGTATACAGGGCGCTGCAGAATTGTTCTGTCCATCCTCAACTTCCTATTTGTAGGCAAAAGCGACGCTGGGAGCTGGTCACTCGTCATTTATTTCTTTAGCAGTGCATGGAAGGATGTTTGCCTGGATGGATGAATGGACAGATGGAGGGATGGATGGATGGACAGGTGAGTCTTCTGAATGGTTTTGCCCAGGTTTGCCTCCAAACTAAAGACACTGAGAATTTCATGGCTGCTGTCCCCCCGTGCAGCCCGGTGAGCCTGTCAGGGTTAGTTAATCCCGTCCTCTGGGCAGCGCCCGCGGGTGCGAGGAAGGACCCTTGCACTGCCTGGAGGTGGGCAGCACCCTGCCCAGGACCAGGCTGGAGGTCAGCCAGGACTTTTGCTCCAAAAGAACAACGTGAGCTGAGAAACCCAGCGCAGACCCGAGTCAGTGGCAGACGTTCGTCCGTGCCCCAGGCCGGGCTGAGAGATGAGCCAGCCTCGCCTGTGGGGATGGCTGGGAGACGGGAAATCCTGGCTGGTGGCCAGGCAAACCTTCAGTGGCACAAAATTCCTTGAGACTTGTCTTCAAATGCTCTGTTCTCTCCTGTGATTTTATTCAGCTGTTACTTTGAAAATGCCGGTGTTTCTACAACTAGCCCAGTGACCAGCTGCATTCTCTCTGCATCCCTTCTCCTGAGGTCAGCTGAAGATGGGAAAAACCACCTCCCAGCTCCATGGGAAGAGAAAGCAGCTCAGGGCAGAGGGAACCTCGAGGGGTTCGGCAGGATTGTGGCGACCGGCACCTTCCCAGCCTTGCTCCTCTTTCGCATGGAATGCTTATCGAAGGTTTCATGTGTGTGGTTTAATTAAAAAAAAAAAAAATCTGCAATGCAATCTGTGCTCTAATTTGAGGACACCATTTAGTGATTTTAATTGTGTGACAGTATTTTGGTATTTCCAATACCCAGTAGTAGGTTAATGACTGTTCCTTGAAGAATGGAGTTTATATAACACGAGTCATTACATAAGAAGGCTGATTGTGGCCTGAGGAGCAGAAGGAAAACAAATATGCAAGAATGCAAACCCCAGAATAACCAAAATCTACTTTGATGTCCCTGAGAAGCCTAAATAAACGACACCTGGGTTCCAGCAAGGTGACACTAACCTTGAGGCAGGCTGAGGACGTGGAGCTGCAGGCGCTGCCCGACGCGACGTCCCGGCCATCGCACGGTGTGCTGCCGCGCCGTTCCCACGTGGTGGCCGTCATCTCTGCTCAACCACATCACAGGGTTCGCATCAAAGGAACAACAAACACACAAGCAAGCAAAAAGTTACTGCTCGGTCACTTGTTTTATTTTTTTTTTTTTTCCCAGAAGCTCCTAAGCGTGACCTGAGCTGGACTGACCAAATGTCGTGATGACATATAACCCTGGGAGAACCTGAAGCACGACTTTTTCCTTGGACCTTAGCTCTCAGGTTTGATAGATGGGATGAAGTTGTACGGAGTAATTTTATTTCTGTCACAAAAGTGAGTGGGTCTCCTGCGTCTGCATCACCCCAGCTTTTCTTGGGGGACCAAGGGGTCCCCTGAGGGGGCTTTTCTTAGGGGAAATACCCGGCAGAGGTGGGGATTGCTGCCAGCTCCGTTGCCCACATGCTCCAGGACATGCTGGGCACCCCCAGCATCCCTCGGGTCCCCCTTTGGGCACCTTCCCTCATCCCAGGGGGACCCAGGACCACCCTGAGACCCCCCCAACCCCCTGGGGGCCCATCACTCGGTGGGGGGAAGGCTCCGGGGGAAGCACGGCAGGGTCCGGGGCTCCCATCCCACCCCTCGGGAGCTGCGGGACCCCCCC